TATTGTCCGATTTTTTATCCGATTTTCTTTGTCCGATTTATTTATTTGTACGATTTTTCTTTTCCGATTTTCAGTCGGATTTATTTGTCTAATTTTTAGTCCGATTTCATGTTCGATCTTTTTGTCCGACTTATTCGTGTCGATTTATATGTCCGATTTTTTGTCCGATTTCATGTCCGATTTTTGCCCGATATTTTTGTCCGACACGTTATTGTCCGATTTTTTTCTGATTTTTTGATCCGATTTCATGTCCGATTTTTGCCCGATTTTTGTCCGATTTTCTATGTCCGATTTTTTGGTCCGAAATTTTTGTCCGACTTGTTCATGTCCGGGGGAACTTTGAAATGGCTTATTAGCTTTAGATCTCATTAGCTCCTTCAAACCTGAGTTTTGCCTTTCTAGGTATTTGTTCTGTGCCAAAGCTGAGCAGCCAGCGATAATGATGATGATGATGATGATGATGATGATGATGATGATTGCTTTTCTGCAACACAAAAATTATTACTGACACATTACGGAAACAAAAAAAATACAGATTTGTACAATTACATAATTATACATACAACGACGGGTAAAACTGACAGTTACATGAACTAACTGAGGTTTACTTTGGGCCTGCCTTCGCTTAACTGGGTACTCACTTAGTTTTGTTTTCTCAATGAAAAAAGGAATAGAGGAATGGGTGGACGGTTTAACTTTAACAGGGGCATAATGGTAACAAAGTAATTGGCTAGAAGGTAACAGTTGCAAGCCAATAAAAGTTTCCAACTGTGTGAAAAGGCGTTCGAAGAATTACGGAGAAGTGCTACTTGTCTTACTCAGTTTCAATGACGGAATTAAGCTTACCATCAAAGAGGAACATGCAAGGAGACGCTCCAGCTAATTTACACGAGTAAATATGATATTTCCCAAGGAGAAGAACGAGATCGATCGCTGTAGAGGTTGAAACTTTAAAAAGCCCTATCAGATTGAAGAGCAGTCAATGCAAAATTTCTTAGTCTGTGGCACTTTTAAAATAAAAGTTGTTTAACATCGTTCCAAACAACTTTTGTTGCAGAACATCACAGAAATAGATGAGAAATGGTCCATTTCTCAATGGCAAAAACGACATTTATCAGATTGCTTAAGGTTAATTTTCTGTAAATAAGTCGTTAGTGCCAATCTTCCGAGGTAAGAACTTGCACTGCCAAGTTATATTTTTACCGTTGCTCTGATGATTTCATGTACGATGTCGTTCTCGCCACCTAGCCTACCCCACTCGCTGCTTTTTTCCCATGATTTGAACGCCTGAAACGGACTAGCTCAGCTTTATGCGGACAACGGACTCTTCTCTGTATCCCGAGTCACACACAGTCATATATCAGCAACCTTTATCTTTGCACTAAATCTATGACTGAATATCTTACCAGCGAAAACCTAACAGAACCGGCGAAATAACATCCTCGGAGACCTAGGGGTAGATAGTGGGGGCGAGGGAAAGTGTAAATGATGACGGGAAAAAAATGGCGCCCGTTTACACTTTCCCTCACCCCAACTATCTGCCCCTGGGTCTCCAAGGATGGTGAATTAAAAGGTTCTATATGTAACATTTAGATAGATAGGTGATCACGAGCTAATATACTTCAGATAGTAACTTCAGACAGAATTTGGTTCCAACGTAACGTTTAATTCCAATACCACAGCGGTAGTACAATCAAAATACAATCTAACATGTAACCATTTCTAAGACTGTTGGTAAACATTTAAACTTGTTTTTAGCCCGCTGCGAGCAAGCTCTCCATTTACAGTCTTTACGGCGAGCAATGCGAGCCGCAAGAGAACCGACGTACGCGCGTCTCTTTTCGCGTGCTGCTCCCACGCGACTCCTCCAAATGAAGCCGAGCTTGTTCGCAGGCAAACTTGTCCGGAGACATTACATGTAAACGTTACAAAAGAGTGGATGACGGCTAATTCGCTACAGTGATTACAGCTTGGAGGCGGCTTATTACAGTTTCAACTTAACACTTAACGTCTAATGGATAACAACAGGTTGCTACGTTGGCTTTTTTAATACAAAAGATATAGTAGTAATTAAAATAATCAAAAATTTATAACGCACCTTTTCCATGTAAATATGATCAAAAGCGCGTAACAAGTGACTGCTTTGAATTAAATGTTAAAAATAAAAGCTTAAATGAACATAGTAATTACAGCTAAAATTAGATAAAAACGTTATACATATATAAAGTACGTTAAAAACGTTACATATCAAAGCTAGTCTAAAAAGATGCGTTTTATGTAAAGATTTAAAACGTTCAAAATTGTCCTCAAGACGGAAGCGAACGGGCAGATTGTTCCATAAGTTAGGGGCCGCAGGCGAAAAAGCACGATCCCCTAACGTCTGTTTCAGTTTTTAAATAGAGGGTTTTAAACAATAAGCCCGCTACTGCTTCGTCCCCAATCGCTCGCGATCACTGGAGGATATCTGAATTAATTATTAAGGAAAGCGGGGACGAAGGGAGTGATGGAAAAGGGAGAAAAAGATCCGTGAAACAAAGCGACAGAACCGCCATCTTGGTGTGCAGTTTACTATTTTCTGCACCATACGAATGGTCGACTGGCTCTAGATGCAGAATATTTTTCTGATGGGTCACTATTACCACGCCCTATATTTTACTCATTTACGTTTACAATATCTTTAACCTTTAAGCTTACATTTGCGCTATTAAGTGCAAAAATGCCAGTCCTCTTGAAACGTATTGGTTTATAAAACATTCGGTTTTTTAAGAGTTCAGGCAAAACGACCGCGCAGCGAACCGAATCTTTTGTCCCAACTAATGGTCATCTCTCTCTTCGGACATCTAACGGTGTAAAAAGGTTTTTGTTGTCGTTTTTTGTCACCTATTTACGTGTCCAGGCAAAATTACTTGGCAAACCGAAAGCTTGTCCCGATAAGTGGCCACCTTTGCCCGACATCTATCTTATGGTGTCAAACTCTTTGTTTTTCTCACTTTTTACGCGTCCTGGCGAAACGACCGGCAAACCGAAAGTTTGTCCTGATAAATGGTCATCCTGGCCGGGTATCGTCCGTTGACCGCCCGTTATTTTGCGCCCTGAAGCGTCGAGAGCACCCTGGTCGAGAGCATCTCTCTGATCTCTCGTCCTTAGCTCGTGATCGTTCTTTAGCTGCACGGCTCCTTGTCCTCATTACCTGAGAATTAAAAAGATAAGAATGACATAAAAAGGTGAATGATATGGCTGGACAGAAGTTTTTATAATGATGAAATAGAAAAACTGAATCTTCTTACTATTATTTAATTTTGCGAAAAGGGATGGGACAATTTTCGCAAGACGTAAAAACTTCACCACTGGCAGTTAAAGCAACTAAAATATATTCGTGAAAAACTTGGCTTAAGTTTTTAATTCAAGGTATAGCCACATTTTCAAGTGGTGTTTAATAGGCACCCCCACCTTTCCGCGCAGAAGCGCCTTTCAAAACGCGTATTCATTTGACAATTGTCTCTGTGTGCGTTATAACGGAATGTATCGCACACATCGAATGTTAAAACAAAATACAGTATAACAAGAAACCTTGCGATGACTAGGGTGCTGGTACTCCCGTTTCTCCTTTTCAATTCTCTTCATCCGTTCGGGATCACTCTTTGATGCCTACACATAAAAAAAGTGGATTTAATTGATTTAATTGTGTACCTTTGCATGCGAAAACTGGATGTACAATTAAAGGACTGAGCGGAAGTAACCTTTTCATAGTTACGAAGGCGGGGTCAACAACGAGTTGTGGAGCACAAAGAGAAGGACTGACACACCCAAAGATTCCATCAATTAAAACGGAACTTCCCTAATAAGGACACTGAGGGGACCATTGTAATTAAGTAACATGGTTTACGGTCAGGTCATCTCGCCACCAACAAAATCGCCACCAATAAGTCGACTCCTCACCAACCAATAACTCTGAAATAATTGACACAGTTTAATACCTAAGATTACTTACGTAAGACTTTCACTTTTTCGTCAAGCTTATTCGAATTTAAAGTCAACCCAAATACAAATCTGTCGATCCTAATTGACGATCCCCGCGTCGAACGACTTATGCTCTTGGTAAATACATGTATGGTTTCGTGAATGTAAACTTTGACATTTGAGACATTAAAAAAAACTGACAGAAACGTTTCACAACCACTGGCCATTTCTTCGAAAAATAAAAACATAGTATTCCGTTCACGAATCAAAGTTCAAAACAATGGTTGGTGCTGATTTCGTTGGTGGCGAGATGATTAATTTGGTACCGAGGTGCCAAGATACTGGTAACGTTTCTTAACAGAAGCAATAATCACTTTTGTTACCAAACTACTCATTATTGATGTCTACCGTTCGTATTATATTATCGTCTACAGTAGTAATGTGAACATCCACATGCTGTCATCCGAAGGGGTTTTTTACCTTTACATTGGCTTACCTCATACTACAGGAAATCTGTTAGTTGGACAAGAGAGAACTTACCTTTTTATCACTAAGCGAAGTAGTCAGCCCAGGCGTGTTGCGTTCTTTATTCATTGCCAACACTATCTGGTCCATCACATTCGTCTTTCGGTGATATGTTATGGTCGCATTTGAGCTAAAAACCACAGAATTACAAGTCAAGATACTTTTCATAACAGTAAAAAATCTGTGAGAGATAATAGTTCACTAAGCTGTGATCACAATGACTGCAAAACAGTCGGGCTCGCTCTCTGTTTTCAGCCTCATTCCAGACCTTTTGTTCGACTGCTCGCGCGTACTTGAATACGCAAAAATACGGACTGTTTTGCAGTCTATGATCGCAATGCTTGCTGCTGAACATGAAGCGCTCATTGGAAATTTGGGCTTAAGGAATCAGAGAAATGGAGAAATCAGAGAGGGGACAAAAACATGATACAGTCTGACTGACATACATGCACGAGTTCTCACAACCAATCAACATTCTCAACCTGCTATTGCATTGCTTCCCTAACCATCACTCAGACTTCTACTGATGGAAATTAAACTCAAGGTTGGTTAAGCCAGGCAATGATCAAGCACGAGGAAGGAGGTATCCATGGCAACCCTGTGGGCAGCCCCACCAGGCATTTTCACACTGAAACACCCGGTAAAATATGCTGTGCTTACTGACCAATGGTATTATCTTGCCCTGTCTTAAAGAGTGAGGGAGGTTTGGAAGAAACAGAGCACTAAAACGGCAAGCAAGCAACAATGCAATGGCAAAAGACACTTTGGGAAGAACTTCAAGAAGCAACTGCGTACATGTAAATAAGCCACGTGCTCCTACTAAGGTTATAATGGTCCAGCCAATGCAATACCGTATTTATTCAATTAAAACAGCAACCTGAATTTTTTGCCTCAAGGTCACAGTGTAACTTTTCGAGGCTGGGCGCTTATTAAATTTTCACCATTTTCAGAATAAGTATGTTTATTTTCCAACAAAACAATAAATGGCAATAAAAAATAAGAAGTGGGTTTGTTAATCTGAAAGAACTCTGTCCTTGGGGAAGTCTCTTATTAGAATTTATTCAACAAGGGGTAGGGTGGGGGTGAGCGATTTTTTGATTGGGGAGGGGGGGGTGGGCGCTTATTCAAGGCTGGGTGCTTATTAATTTGTTCTGCCTTTAGGATGGGCGCTTATTCGAGGTGGGCGCTAATTCCAGGTTGGGCGCTTATTCGAATAAATACGGTAATTGCAGTCGTGAAAACAGCAGACCTGAATTGGCTCAAGTTTACAGTGTAACTTTGCCTAAATTAAATTTAGCCACAGAATAAGCAAGCAAAGGCAGAAAAATAAGCAGTGGGTTTGTTGACAAAGTCAAGGCTCCCTCAAAAAGATACTGTAGGGAATCAGAAATTATTATGCAATTCTCACATTCATCGTGTCATCTTCACCTTTCCTGGTATCTTAAAAACCAATTTAATGATTCACCAGCTCCCACATGGTTTGCGAGCTCAACTGACAATAGTGCTGATCTGGAACCACAAAGCTCAGGTTCGAACTTAGGCAAGCCTGAAATTTTTCACAACTTTTCACAACTACATAAGCTGTGTCTTCAACTGAGATGATCTTTTTTAATTGGGGAACATGAGTCTATTGTGGATCATCTACTTCAAAATTACAAACATAGTTAGGGGGCATAAGCAGTCTTACATTATAGCTCGAATGTAGACTGGTATATGTCGTATGATTACTTGGTACCAGACACCATACTTCTACATACATCATGCATTATCACGAGTCTACATGTACATAGGTCTATACATGTAAGCTAGTGCTAGTAAAATAATATTAAAGTCACTTTAGTTATGAATAGTTGGGGTTACCTAGTAGTGAGCTCAGTTGCTCAGTTACATAGCTGGCTTTAAGTTTAACTAGCGACAACTTTCTGGGAGTCAGTAGTAAGAATGATAATCTACTTGGGCTGATGGTTACTTACCTGTTAAATGATGTAGATGGATTGTCCCTTGAGGTAGTATTCCCTTGATTTTGAAACTCGTAAAGAGCATATTCAGGCTCTTCAATTTGAAAGGTGCTGTTCCCTATTGCAGGTGTAGGACATGGTGTCCACTGCTCACACCGTGGACAAAACCAGAAGTCTTCATCTTTGGATAAAATATGTTTTGTACACTCTTCACAATTATATAGTCTGAACATAAAAAATGGAGAAATAAGAAAACAAAATGGTCGAAAAGAAGAACATACACGTAAGGAAATACCATGGTATATAGGCTGGAGGGGTGCAGAAGTAACAATAATGGAGAGCGCCATCATTAATGATAATGATTCTTATTTTGTAACTCGCTGTACAACCGGCAACCTCATTAAAAGCAGAGTATTTTTGCAAACTAGCTTATTAGACACAACAAAACATCCCCAAACATGCAATGTGTTGTTCCAGAAAATATCCATTCCCCCCAAGGAAGGCAACAGAATTTCTGAGGGGTTGTGAAGCAGCTTCTACAGGTCTTTTCCCAGGAGTTCCAAACAAGATACGGAGATAACTTATTACAAACTAACAGCTGCCCTGCTGAGCAAGCTCTCAGTAATTTTACTGTTAACTGATGTTTCAAAACAGATTTATTGTTTTCATTGATGATCTTTAATTTACAGTCATGCTGCAGAATGCTTTTTCAAGGCTTAATATGGCTTACTTAATTTTCAGCCTGAGAAAACAACCAACTATAATTTTGTTATGCCAACTCTGGTTTCTTTGCGAAATGATGTCTAAAAAATGAGCGCTAAAACTCAATACTGTAGCGCAGTAATTCCATTTTGGTAGTTTTTCCGAATATTTGTTTAATGACGGTGTTCGATTGAGTGAACCCTTGATATAACGAACAATAAATTTCCCCAGTCCCTTGGCGCTTTGTTCAATCGAGAGTCCACTGTACTTTTTATGTTATCAAAACTCACCTATTACCACAGTGAGAGCACAGTAGCATCCCAAGAATTTCAAGAGGTTCATCGCACTCCTGAAAATATCAAGAGAAATTTGTTACTGTCATTACCTTAAATACATCACATTATGATAACAAAATTATGAACTCAGTTGTGTAACTTATATTATTTGTAATGCATACAAATGTGTGATGACAATCTCACTTTCTACAACCCGGCAACCTAGAAGTGTACAGTTATACACTCAATAACATTTTCATGTTCCCCAGCTTGTTTAGGCCTTTCACAACTGATGATCGAGTGAAACCTCTGCATAGTACAGTAACCTGCAAGCAAGCTTTCCATAGAGAAAAAAACAATCAGGACTGTCAGAACACCCAAGTCTGCAACAAAGATGCAAGAGCCAGAGGAAAGGAATGCTTGAAACAATTACTGAAGGATTTTCATTTCCCCTTCAATTTGATTGATAACAGTCCGCATTAGCCTGGCATAAATTTAAAGCCTACAGGCATTAAAAAGGGTTGGGGAGAAAGGGGAAAAGTGAAAAGGACTGGAGATTTTTTTTCTTAATTTTTGCCTTCCCCCTCCCCTTCATCCACCTGCCATACAGGCTCTGTTAACCAATATGGTGGACAAGCAGAGAAAAGATTGCGGGGAAAGGTAGCAGTTCCACACGGGATAATCTTTAAAAAATCCAGAAGGACACTTAAAGCTGGTCCCTTAGTTGACAGCATGTCGATGTTCCCTGCCCTACAGTGCGCCAGATAAGATGATTATTTTGTAGACTTCAATTGCTGACTAATTTTGGCCTCAAACTATTGAATATACAGCAAAACTGTACATAGGACAGTTTTGATTGAGTATTACATAGATGAGTGATTTTTGATTGTTTCTGTGACTTAAGCCGCAGATAGAATAACGACTTTGTGGAGGTCAGAGATGATTGACGAAGCTTATGTCCTGTTTTATTACTTTAGGTTTTTGTTCAAATAAAAGGTGTTTTTTGATTTTGATAACATGACCTGCTTAATACGGACACCCCGTTACTATGGACACTGTCTATAATGGCCCCTTCAGTGTCCGTATTTACAGGGTTTCACTGCAAACACCATTTTGTCCATTTACATACACGAAAAATAAATCCTTTTTTCTAATTTTTAATGGCAATGCTAGAAAATACTAAATGCTAAGAGAGAGGACTTGAAGTTATAATATTTATTCAGTACAGTGCACGTACCTCACATCTGTCAGTTTGGGTGGCAACCACTTGATCTTGACCAATCTACAATAAAAAGATTGGAAATTTAATAGGAATTGAAACTCCCACCACACACATCAAGAACAAGCAGGGGATAATATTTTTAAACATTAAAACAGGGCCTCCCATATTATGCAATGGTGTGATTTCGCAAAAGTAAAGTAAACGATGAATTTTAACTTTAATCAAACATTTTCCCAATGGTAATGTAATTTAAGGTGATTTACCACTAAATAAGGCCTTGCAAGACATCCGAAACCTTTGATTGCGCTATCTGGGCAGCCATTTTGATTTCAGAGACAAACAGTGTGGTCAGCTGAACACATTATCACATCATCTTTTCAAAATTTTCCTTGAAGTTTGAGTGCAAAATTTGTGTTCAGAAAGAGGTAATTCATAATTTCAAAAATCATATTTTGGTCACGTGACCAGCTACAGTGTACGAACTCACTCATTTTAAGAAAATGGTGCGGGTTTGAAAAATCTAGCCTGCGAAAACATCCGTTTCTCCTCGAAGAGCGAGGAGAAACGGATGCTTTCACGGGCTATGAAAAACCAAATCACCATTATTTTGTTTAAGATACGACCCACTAATCGTTTTTCGAAGGCAAAATCATATAACTTTCGTTTTCATAAAAACAATGTCACATGACCTCTTAATGCAAATGGTCTATTGGGCACAGGATGCGTTTTTTATTGCCTGTACTGGCCAGGCTATTTATAACAGTCTGAAATCATACGTATGATTTATAATTGGTTGAGTGAACAGTGCTAGTTCGCTATTACATGTATGATTTCAGACCAGAAGTTCAATTACCACTTTATTATAGCCATTTAGAAATCGCAGAATTCAGTGAGATTTAAAACAGAAATGACGCAATTTAGAACATGAATGATGCGATTTAGAACAGATGTAATTTAGAGCAAAATTTAGTGTGATTTTTGTAAGTAAATCACACTGCTGAGAACAAATCAGATTGCGGGGATCACCAGTGATTTGAAAATGGATGTAATAAAGAACTAAAATTACACAAACCTGTCGCTCTTTGATTGGTTACTTTACATGCAACTACAGTGTATCAGCTGACTTGTAGTATTTTACATCTTAGGTGTATTTTACCAATGTCTAGTTAAAGCTCGCCAGACCATGGGGAGTGGTCTAGTGGAGATTTATATTTATTGATACAGGTATCAATGTCCTCAATAAAACATACAGTGACCTGTAATCATGACCTGTGGAATGTGACCTGTAAAAGAAACCTCTTGCTGCACTAGATCCTTCATGAACGAGCCAACAATTGAATGGTTAATACGTTTTACATGCATACCATGTTATGGGTTAGTCTGCTCAATGTAACTTTCATTGTACATGTACATTGGACTTACCGCATCTCTCGCGAGACCCGCCATTCCACTGGTTTCCAATTGCGACCCATTGATACTTGTTACTGTTCCTCTGCAGACTGGGCAGTTTACTGAAGTCTATAAAACAGTTCCACACAATAGCAGGTTACGTACGAGGCAGTCACGGTCACGATCACTTCTGTCCGCTTTAAACATGACTGCATGACTGTAACTAAGCTGCATGCTTGCAACATTCAGCTGAGATCGTTCCACGTCCACCTCTACTACAAAGGTATTTAACGTCCTCAGCCATGAATGTGCAGAGCCCTACGCTCCATGCAACTTTCATCCGGCAAAGTATGGCATATCAAATGCAGGTTATCCCCCACTTAACCTTCTACACAACCGGCGATGAATGATTCCATGATTGCACAAAATGGCTACCACATCACGTGACAATTCTCAGCTTGTAATAAACTTACAGTTTTACTTGTTTTTAATCAATTCCAGTCTGATGTAATTGTATTTTCAACATAGCTACTGCCGTTTACTAATTAAAAATGATTAGTTTGGAGAGATCTACGCGAAGTTAATGAAAAAATGCTAAGCTACAGTAGCTTACAGTGTAAAGCTCTCTTGGAGTATGCTCTGCTCGACCTAATCAATTAAATTACAACTGGCCTTATCTAAGCAGGCTCCTGATCTTAGACAATAACAAAACCAGTAAATCTCCCACACACACAACACACTTAACCTATTCAATCACACCTAATTTAAAATTTCGTTGTTTTTTTCCTCCGTTGACCTAATTTATAAGAACAGTGTCGCATGCAATGGAAGACAAGATGATCGATCCTTCTGTTCCTTTTAATACTTCGTTCGATCTACTTACCTCCATCCATTTCTGGATGCATTTTAAACAAAACACGTGAAAACAGGGTTCGACCTGACCATTCTCGTTTCCAATAGAATAAAGGCAAATAGGGCAATCGCCACTGTTCATTTCTTCTCCAAAAAATAAGTGATGAATCGACACTCTAGTAATGATTGGCGCCCTTTTTTAATTCACCCCGAAACAATCGAGAACTGCATGTCGGGATCGCCCGACTCGTTTCCAGGGTTTGCCCAACCTCGTACCCAGACTCTTTCAGATTCTTGGTACGATTTTGGGTAGATACCTCATATAATGATTATTATAGTGTAGTACCAACCCGATGCACGCAAATGACTGCAATTTTCGTTAGGTTGGTTTTCAAAAAATCGGCTAGAGCTATAATTAAAAAACAGTACGAGTCAGTTGATTATTGAAAGGAGTTTTAGAATTAAGGATTTGTATGGAGCCATCAAAGCATAACAGTTCTTCTTGCTCCCAATTTGCACTAACGAGGCCCCGCCATCACTAACAGGCTCCTACATTTTCGACATGTGGGCTTTTTATCTTGTTTTTTCTGGATAAGTCAACCAATCCCATAATTTCTTAAATTTAAATTGTTGTGACGTCATACTTCTCTTCTCAATAGGAGAGTCGACAGAGTCACTTTGCATGGAATGCTAATAAACCGTTTTTATTATATGAAGAGCTTTGATTGGATGAGATATTCTATGAATAAAGGAGTTAGTTTTCTAAGGCTATGTTCTCTCTCTTCCCTTAAGGTTCACGCTGAGTATCCCAATAAAAATAACAATAATGGAAAAATAGAAAGCGCTTCTCTCTTTTCCCTTCCCATCATGCTACGCGCGCTCTCTTTTTCTTTCTCCCCAGCCTCCCTACGTCAAAAAGAAGCCTCTGCGGAGGAGAGTGGGCTATGTTCACACTGTCTCGGATAGCTTTTCGTGCTTTTTTGTGCTATCCGGTATAGAATGAACATATATACGGCTAAGAAACTGTGGTGTTGCGTCGTTGGGATGAGGAGCAAAAATTTGGTGCTATATAATAAATGGGTTGATAAAAGTCGATTCGCTCTGATAAAGGTCCTTCTCGAAATGCCAGCTTCTTAAAAGTGGCTTCTTAAAAGTCTCTCAAAAGTGGCTAATTCAAGTTCTTTTATCCCGTCAGTTCAACAGAGTATTTCCGGCCCGATAAGGGCTGCAGCCAGAGCATGGGTGCTTTCACTTTGAGAAATAATCCATTGGCACATGTAGTGAAGGCGCATAAGCAGGAATATTTCGAGTTGTTAATATGACAAACCAGCATTTTATCAAAGGATAACTGAATAATTCCCCTTTGAAGCCTCCTTCACTGAAACGTGGTATATCGCATGCCTTTTTTATCAATCTACGCCAAATATAGTGGCAAAAAATGGTTACAAATGCACACGCAACTAAATGGTTATTGAATTAATAAAGACTGAAGCCGCCAACAAAGAAAACAAGTCGTGAAAGAAAATTTGTGCTAGTTATTCTTCCTTGTTATACGACTTTTGCTATTCTATGCTCCTTTTCCTATGTACTTTACTGAACTTAAAACATTAAAGTCTTGAGGAAAAAAATCGTACTTGGGGCCGAAACGTGCCAAACCTCATGTAAGGCGCCGTTTGATTACCTGTATAACGCTCACTCTGGCTGCCATGAAAGAAAATCTTAAAACAACCTTGCAAGGCTAGCCCCTCATGCATTTCTCACCTACAGTATTTAACGTAACCCTGTTTGAAATACTACAAAACAGTTCACACCGCATTTTGAAACAATAACATACAGTTAGCAAAGTTTTTGATTTGCTGCCATTTTCAGTCTTAAAGATGTTTGAGGGGTATGAGGGGTGTCGAGTGCTTTATCAGATCATTTGATCACTCGTTTACTAAGGCCACACCTACTATTCTTTATTACAATATGTTGCAGTGTCACATTCACCCTACCTGAGACAAATAAGCTTGGCTGAAAGCATTACTCCTTAACTCGCTAAAGCGTTGAGAATCAGCCAAACCAGAATATGACCATCTTGCCTTTTTTGTTTGCTTTAAGCCTTTTTGTGGCCAATCTGAAACAATCTGCTCCTCAGGTAAATGTTTTCAGTAATTTATTTCAGCCTTATTTATGTTTCTATGCATGATATAACATAAGCTGGGTGGATTTTAATCCAGTATCGTCCCAATGTGATAGAGCTGATTCTCTAACTAGTATAATTTGAATTTCAGGCGTCTTAAGTCTTTTGTTTTTCAAATCAACTTCCTTACAATTGAAAGACCGATTCATGTAAAATACTACAGCCATTCCCCTTGGGCAACTCAGCGATGGACTAGCATCGCATCCAGGGAAAGTAGCAGTACCACTAGGGGCTGTATTGTACCTAAGGGTAAAATAAGTTCTGGTGACATGAGTCATAATGATTTCATACTATACATAAAATAAAAAATTTATAACAATAGCTGGGGGGCGGACTGGTGCCCGAAATAACCTATCCAGGGCCAGTTAAAAGAAAAGATGTTTAAATGTTTAGGTCAGGGACACAAGAACAAAAGAAAACAGAGAAACACACACAAATAGTTAACTAAACTACCAGTATATAAAGAGACTAAAATTCCCAGTTGTTTTCCATTTTAAAGTTACCCAGAAATGTACAGATGGTTAAGTTGTTTCATTTTCGTTTTAAACAAAGACAATGAAGATAATTTGAAATCTTCATCCATACTGATGGTTTGATATTTATACGCCTTCCAGAAAATAAGACTGTTTTACAACAAGCCTTGTATTATAGGTATGAATTTGCTTTTAGTGAAAGCCCTATTTCTCCCATGATACATTATATCTGTTTTGCCTGTGGGGGCCCAATGAGTCAATACTTCCAGTTGTTTTCTGCTACAGAAGCAACTTCAGCCGTTTGCCAACCAGCTGTCACTTGCAACAAACTACCTGCTGCAAAGATGGTAGGGGAAATAATGTTTGACTTTTCTCCAGCATTTGCAAGGTATTTAATCTCAGAAACATTGTGATCAGTTTACAAATGTCATTTGCTCCATTTTTGTGGCAGGAAAAGACGGCAAAGATGGGAAAAACGGTATGTCAGTGTGCATTTATAAGAACCTTATTCCCGAATTAATCTCACTTCTTTTAAAGTTTACATGAACACCACCCGTCTTGCCCATCGGTAGTGCTTCGTTTTGGCTTCTCTTTATTTGTCTTAATAATAATAATAATAATAATAATAACATCTTTATATTCAGTGAGGCCCTCAAAACTTAAATAATCCTAATAAGAAAATATAATATAATCTTATGTCTTTATATAGAACAAAATGTTAAAATCATAGAAAAAGTGATAAAATTAAAATATTGTTTTGAATATTCAATGTCTTTGCATAAAACAGTTAGATCATGAAGCAGTGATATTAGTTTTGATATTCAAGCCAATTCTCAGGTCTTGTATAAAGTGCTGTACTTAGCAGTTACCTAAATAGTTGAACCTAGAGTTTGAACTGCAAAGTGACAGCAAAGACAGTGGAGAAATGAGCTGAAAGTTTTTATTGCAGTAGAAATAAATGGGCACATTTCTGCAGAGATATTCTATCCGCCTTCATAACCTAAGAATACTTTAAATACATCAATACCAATATATTACGCCTAGCACACTTTTGAGACTGATTTTATCATGCTACCCACTTCACTTGAAATATGCAAGGGTTATATATATTCTTTTTCTGGGTCAGAAACTGTTTATTATTAATATACCACATTAGAATCGAAAAACCGCCACACTACTTATTAAAGGCTTCGACTTGTTGGTGAGGCTCTTATTTTAGGGCGTGGCTTACTCAAAACTAGCACAGAAATTACCCAACCTTTGTTTCTCCTTTGTTTTGTTCAAAAAAATAACTGTGGAAAAAAGTTTGTTTCAAACGATTGGTTAACTTTCTAAATTCAAAAACAATGTCAAAAATGGCAATTGCAGGCGTCCAGGTCTCGGTTTTTAAAAGGCGGATAGCGTTGTCCACTATGTGTTAAGAAACACAAATAATCCGCTGGATAGTGATTTGAAATCACTATCCAGAGGATAACGCAACTGGTTTTCCTGTGCGGCTCATTCACTGCGTAGCGATTTATCCGGTGGATAGTTTGAACAACCGGGGCCAGATGGTACAGCTCAGGGGAAAGCTGGGGAGAGCGCCAAAGGAGCCTTCGTCGCCCTCCCCAGTCTCTACTCAGTCTTTCGAGATAACATTCATGGCATCCTTTCACGAAAATACTAAACGCGTAACTTTAACCATGGAAAATGTTTTTGTTGCTTATACAGGAAAAGACGGACGCGATGGAATTCACGGTAGAGTAGAATATTGTTTTTACTCTTCACGTAGTGGTAAATATTATGGTTACGTGTACACTCGATGCTAGAAAACTTCCTCGGCTCTACGTTGGAGAACGTTGCAAACGTTTCCATGCAAAAACTTGGGGGCGGGCGGGGGTGGGGCATACGGAATTTTCGCGCGAACGACGCCAAGTATTTCCTATGCAGTCATGGAGTAGCGGTGGTGTAGGCCAATGTCTCAGGAGTGCGCGATTACTCGGGGCAAGCGGCATTTTTTCTTTTCTGGAGATGGAGTTTATTAGATCGTGGGCGAAAAAAAACCCGTCAGGAGCCGACGATGATACCGTTATATGTTCTACATTCAGTTTCCGGACAACCTGTTGCTTATTTAGAATTATTTATACCTAGGAAAGGACGGCCGCGACGGAAGAACTGGCAGACGTGGAGCGAAGGTTGTTGTGGTTTGTTTCCTGGTTCAGTTATTAGTATTAATTTTTACAAGACCTTCCTATGACTCACTTGGCAAACCTCATGTAGCGTTTTCATGCTAAAACTACTAATATCTAAAGTGGGCACCGGTTTAGAAGGAGTATGAGCTACGTATTCTATGTACTCATAGCAGTTTTTTGTCAGCTTTCTTTGTTTTTCGCAATCCGTGGTACGCAGACTCCAAGACAGGCATTTTTCCCGACCACGTAATAGCTACAATAGATGAGGAAAATATAACATGCATCTTGTATAGAAAAGGCAAACGGCCATACATCATACAGACCATTTATGCCAGGGTGTAAAGCTGGGCGTAACTGCCGTAAAAAGAAAACTCCCTAGCTGTTATATACCTCTCCTTGCAATTGCATAAAGTACTGGTACCTGGAAACTCAAAAACTGACGACAGCCCTGTTAAAATATTGTTGTTCTTGAGTTGTTTGTGTGATTCTTTGTTTTCTTTGTTTTGTTTTGTTTTGTTTTTTCTGTCGCTTTTATTCTCTTTTTTTCAGGGGGAAATGGGTGAACCAGGAATCGGAGGTCAAGATGGAAAGACTGGTGCCAAGGTTTGCCGATTTCAAACCTTTTAGACAAATCAGTCTTAAACAACTAAAAGAAGTGTTGTACATCATTTCTCGCTTGACGGTGATGAAAGTTAAGAATATGAAAGGAATTTATATTCCTGCAACTGAAAGGACATCTGGGGTTAGCTATCAGTTGTGCAAAAGGTAAATTAAATAGTCCTGTTCAACTCTTTTCCAGCGAAAAAATACAATTATTTCCCTATTAACAACCTGATCGCGTAACGAGCAAGTTGCTCGAATACACCCCACATATGTATCGCCTTATGTAATGGAATTCAAGGCAATCTTTGATTCTGGATTCCACGCTGTGGATTCCAGGTACTGGATTTCAGTCTTTGTAGGTGGACTTGGGGATTCTGGATTTCAATCGTTAGTGGGATTCCGGATTCCTAGTTGGGTTGTATTCCAGATTCCAAAGCCAAATTGGCTTTGCATGGTCACGCACTGTCCTGTTCCATCTTTCTACTCTAGTTTTCATGTTTAATTGTCTACTTGCTACATGTTTTGTTGCGTACAATTCAAGGTGTGGTGTCGAGGCCAAAGTAAACAAATAAAAATCTAATAGGTTATAAAATGTCTCCTGTCTGCTGTGGATGTGAAATCTATTTTCAACTAAGCAGAAGGATGTACGTACAGTCTGTGTGTCAGCTTAAATTTATATCAAAATAGTCTGATAATTTGGTTAATTTGGTTTGGTTTAAAGGGGGAGAAAGGTTCCTCTGGAGACAAAGGAATGAAGGGCGAAAAGGGAGAGCCAGGACCAAAAGGCCGTAAGTCACGTGAAGTAAAGTGAAAGTGGAACAGTGGGAAAAAATGGAGAAGTAGACACAAAAGCCTGAGAAACCACAAAACAGCCGACATTTTGTAGCTTGTGTACAGACGTCCCCTCCTCCCTCAGGAAAAAATCGGGAGAGGTTGGTTTCCCCGCGAAATTTCGATCGAGAGGGGGAACCAGTGGTGGCGTCGCGAAATGTCCGCTGTTTTCTTAGGCTATAGAAACAAAAGACTTCCCACACCCTACCCCCCATGAGGAGAGCTACTTAACCCAAGTTTAGATACAGGGACCGTTCCGTTCAAGGCTGTTTGAAACCCTCACACTGTTTAGGACAAATATACTATTGATCAACGTACTCCGTACGAGACAACAACGTTTTTTAGGAACCCTCAGTGTCAAAAACAATGAATAAAATACGCGCCATGTTGCTTCAGTATGGGAAATTACTAACCAACACTATTCAGGTCAGAATTGTTTGTATACATTTGTAGAATTGTACACCCTGTTACCCTAACATAGAGGTCGGTTAATCCCTAGTGCAGAAGTCAAGCAACAGCTGTAGTCTGCTCCACAGCCGTTTTTTGTGTCGTCACGCAACGCCCCCTCCCCCACAAGGAGCGTTGGGAGACGACTTTAAAAGCGGTTGTGTAGCAGACTATCATAGCCGCCCATTCACATCAAACACACCCAAACAACCACACACCTGACTGAAACTCTTGTTTTTTCCCTTTTTTATAAACAAAGTATGCGATAGCGGTTTCCACTTCTTTGAGAAAGTTCAAGATCTACCAACCCGAGGAGCTTCTGGTGTCGAACATTTCTTCATCAACGGGACTCTGTTTCTCGCTTTTGCTAACTACTATGGGGACATCCACAAACAAAACACAAGCTCTATAATCTACAGGATGGACGAATCAACTGGAAGATTCAATTTGCATCAAACTTTGGAAACTACTGGAGCACGAGATATTGAATATTTTACAATCTCTGGGAAACATTTCCTGGCAGTGACAAGTTATTATGACGGCAGTAATTTTGGTTTGGAGTCTTCAATTTTTCAGTGGAACGGAGCAATGTTTGTGGTCTTTCAGAAAATACCTACAAAAGGTGCAGTTCGTTTTACATTTTTCGAAATAAGTGGTAACAACTACCTTGCAGTGGCAAATCGCTATGATGGTAGTACCTTTTCCACAAAATCTGTCATTTACAGATGGAATGGAAGCCATTTTAATAAATTTCAGGAGATAGCAACTGCGGGTCCATTTGGCTGTGTGGTGTTTGTAATAAACAACAACACTTTCATTGCCTTTGCAAGTTTTTACACCGAGTTTAGCAAGCTTTCTGTTCAATCGACTGTGTTTAAGTGGTCAGAAGGACACTTTGTCAAACTACAGTCTCTTCAGACGTATGGAGCCTATGATGTGAAATCCTTTCAAATCAATGGTGAGACATTCCTTGCCTTTGCAAACTACTACAATGGAAGTAAAAACAACATCGACTCCTTCATTTACAAGTGGAATGGGAACAAATTCATCTTGTTCCAGTCGATTGCTACTCGTGGAGCGCGAGCACTGCATCCCTTTGTGATCAGCTGTAAAACCTTTTTGGGTGTGGCTAATTACCATGGTGACAGTCAAAAGCACACTACCGAGTCCATTGTGTACCAGGCTTCTGGCTCACAATTCGTTATCTATCAAGCGATTCCCTCTCACGGAGCATCTGATATGACGTCATTTGAGTACAAAGGTGATACGTATCTAGCAGTAGCAAGCCGCTACGATCAGAAAAGCAACATCAACAGTACCCTGTTTAAATGGGTGTAAAGCCATGGTCGAACTCCGTCCAGGAACGTAAAGAACTTAAAATCATGGAAACTGATCTCCTTTGTATGACAGCAACGACTTAAGTGCTTAAGAGCTGGTGATCAACTTAAGGATGTTATTATCATTGTTCTTAAAAGGAAATTAAAATGGTAAAGCTTTATTTAGCTTTCCTAGTATGTTAACAGAAAGCGACTTAAAATAACCTGTAAAGCATGTAAAAAACTCATTGACAATTACATAAGCTGAGCAACAAATACATTCTTGCTCTAGGTAACAATAAAGGAATGAATAAAAAATGACTGTATTGACATTTTTCTACACTGCGCAGTAAGTAATCTGGTTCTGATGTTCATAATAATGACGATGGTGGTGGTGCTAGTTGTTATGGTGACAGTGATGACGGTGGTGATGGAAGTGGTTGGCCAAATACAAAATAAGATTGACGTAAGGGAGGTCTTGTGAGCCCGCGAGACTGAGCAAACCCCACAAACCCTTGTCTTCACTAAAACCGCTGAACACAATACCTCCCTTACGTCGCTTAGGTCGATTTTACATTGTCACAACCAAGTGGTTGTGGTAACGAGATGATGATGATGATTAGGGCGGTTTGGATTGTAATGGTGATAATAACGACGTTGGTGGTCGTGACGTTTTTAGTTGTCGCGGTGATTGTCTTGGTGATGATAAGGATGTGGTTATAAAGTACCCGGGGTATCATATGGAACGGAATCGTCTTACCCAAACTGAATTTAGGGGAGGATGTATGTATGCCTTCGTGAGGACGATCAATGATAATGATGAGAACCGTTGTAGTGGTGGTCACGGTAATGATGATGATGATGATGATGATGATGATGATGATGATGATGGTGAAGATAGTGGTGAATCGACACACTCACTCAAACTGAACAAAGCCAAACCATAAAGTTTTATTTCGTTCATTCATTATCGAAAGAAATCAAAGATAGTATTTTTCGTGAGTGTCATTTCCGAACAAAAACTCTTTCAGTCATTGAGTTGGATGACTCAGTTAGACTGTTGTCGCAATTGTCTAACCTAAAGGAGATTAAAATCGTTTGAGTCGTCAGTGTCTTTGTGAACCCTGCAAGAGTTTGTCTCTTTAATTTAGACGATGTATATTTGGCTGTAAATCGAAACCTGAATATAGTTTAATCTTTTGCGAAAATACCTGCAGGATAACCCATTCGAACAAAAAAATTCTTTTTCAAAAGCATTGAGTTGAATGAACTCTGCATATGAAAGTTAGGGATGCTGTCGTCTCGCTTGGGGTGTAAATTTTTTTTGGTCTCACTTAGGGTGTTCTGGGCAAAACGCCATCAAAGAAGGTCTCGTTTATTAAAAAATATTTGAGATTGTCTGTGTCAACATGGTCTTTTTAGGGGTCACCCTGCAAAAGTTTTCTTTAAAATTTCCGACGAGCTTTAATTTGTGGAGACGAAATGTAAACTATTTAATTTGAATTAAATCGAAACCTGACTTAGACAACAGTTTGAGTAAATGCTGTGCTTTGCTCTTTTTTTACTCTTTCGTACTCATTTCACTGAAGTTTAAATTTATTTCCGGATGTTTACGCCGTTATTTAGCTTCCAGCATTTTGTGCTTAAGACGCCGTTAGGGAAACTCATTAGGGGAAATTATAGCCTTCTTTCGAAGTGTCAGTGGCCTTTTAACGCGCCACATCAAAGGACGCCGTCACGCGTTTGACTGCTTTGACTATGCCTACATGCCAAGATAAAGATAATAACAAACAATAGTATACGAAGCTGAGCACTTAACCCTTCCCTTTGTGGCTCACGTATATTACTTGGTAAGCCTGAGGGTATGACGTTAAAGAGGCTGTTTACATTGCATGGAAAAATGCAGTTGGCGAAGCTTCCGGGCAAGCGGGGGCTGCTCAACAAAGTTTTATGCGGGGTGGCTCTACTCTGATGTCCAACGCCTTATCTTTTTACGTACTATTTTTGAGAGAAAAGGTATCCCTTTTGTATACCCTCTATTGACAAATGTTACCCCTTTCACATACTTGGTGCTGCATCCCTTTTAACTGCTGTAAATACACTGTCTTTCTAATACGAGAAATCACTTAACCACGACGTTTTTTTTTTTACCTTTTCACAGCCATAAAATGAGTCTGTAATCCCTACCCTGTTATATACCTCACGCCTGGGGCTTGAAAATGGTAATCCTTTCGGCGGAGCCATTATAGGGGGTACCCCCTTGGCTAAAGTTTTGATTTGCGGCAGTTTTAGTGATAAGACTTCCATTAAGGTGCTTTTAAAAGAGGGTGCAAAGGGTATCTGAAGCTACGTGCTTTATGATCACCTAATAAGGAATTCAATGTGACCATCTGTTGGGCGATTCTCTCACCCGTCAATTAAGTATTATCAATGTCTGACAGAGTGCTAAGAGTATCCTCTGCTACGTGCTTTATGATAACCTAATCACTTGTTTACGGGGGCCACGCCTATCAAACATTATTGGGATTATACATGTTCCAAGATCATCTTGGAAGCGGGTCACACTAAGCTAGCTACTAAGCTAACTCGTTCAACGTTTACCAAAGTACCCAAAGAGAAGAATGATTCGTTTGCCCTCTCTGGTTACTTTCGCCATTTTGCTTGCTTATTCCTTTGGAACGGCACAAAAACAATCTGCTCAACAGGTATTGCTTTGAACATAATAGCAGTTGCAATTTGAAAACGTTTTATTTTCCATTGCAAATTCTAGCTTCAGCTCCAACTTGTACACGACATCGGTAAAGGTTAAGGTGAAGTCAAACCTTCTGTCTTCCAAATGATGCCATGAATTTACGTGTAGTGCCAATTGTTTGATATAATCTCGCGAGATTCTTCATTTGTTGATATTTTTCAAGTCCATTCCTGATTGTAATCATAAAACAGAACAGAGACCCTTTGTAATTCCGACGCACTTTCTTTATTTCGTCTTTTTCTTTGGCAGCCGACCGATGGGTCACCAGCAAAGGAAAACAGCTGCCAAACTCTACAACAACATACTTGCTGTAAAGATGGTAAGAGACAACTTTAACTGATTTTCCGTTAACACCTTACTCCATTCTGAAGCTTCAAAATTTTAATCAGTACAACGATGAAGAAGAATCACAAATTTTACGTTTCTTGTTTTGTTTCTTGACCGCCTATCAGGAAAAGACGGCAAAGATGGCAGAAACGGTGAGTTGACATAAGGACAGATCACACGTTCTTAAGTTATAACAATCTAATTCATGGAAATTTACAGAGGGGTTTGGTCCAGGTATACTGTTTATTTGTCTGCATGCGTTTGTAGATCATGTAAGGAAAGGGTCACAGAGCTTCACAGCCAGTTGTTCTTTATATGGGTTTCGGAAATAAAAGAGTCTCGCATAGATCCTTGGGAATTGAAACGAATTGCCTTCCCATAAGTCTGTCGCGCTTCACCTTGAAACACGAATAGATTTATTATACCCAGTCCCCACGAAAAAAAAAACGGTAATGTACGACTTCTAAAATCCCATTTTCGTTTTCCTCAACTTATTTGCCTTTACTCAATTCATCTTTTTTTTTCTGTACATACAGGAAAAGACGGGCGCGATGGGTTACATGGTAGAGTATATTACTAAGTGATAGTATTGCTCTAATGCTTTAGGAAATCACGATTAGGTCTCATAGTCTGTCCCTGCTCAGCAAAACATACGATAAATAATAATATAGTATATAGAATGATATGTGTGGAGAGTAAAACACAGAAAAATTCTGAGTTCCAGAGGAGAATTAAACCCATAACATTCCAAACTTGTTGGAGGCCCTAACTTCTGCGTTACTGAGCAGATCATTTGTGGGCATACGAGCGCGTCACGCAATCATATTATTTCAAATGATAAAAGTTATTTGATAGAACAGTATAAAATGAATTTTAAATATTAAACTATATTTAGTAATACGTATAAATATGGTGGAATATGATCGTTCGGGTGTGAGCGCAAGTGTAGTCCTGAATAGGACTTAAATTGACAGTTACTGACGTTCCGGCAACTTGCGCGGTTCTCCTGTAAGAGTCAAGTACTCTTGATCTTTTGTCTGATATCATGCAAACTTTTAAACAGCTCACTCTCAAGGACAACAACAAGACTGGTAGTCTCCAAGTGAAACAAAGATGGGGTGGGTCTTACCCTAGATCCAGAGGTCCATTCGAAATACCTAGGATCAGGCACCTGATAGGATGAAATAACCCGTGCGCATGGGACTTTCAAGAATTAGGAAAGAAAAAAAAACCGGCTGGTTGGCTGGCACCCAGGGTAGGTGCGCATGCTCCTAGGGTCGCGCTGGATCATGATCCATTATATTCTTACGTTTATTTGTTTTGCTTTGTTTTTAGACTAAAAGTTGACTAAAACTTTAATTTCTAAACTGATTATCCACAAATAGGATTTTCCATCAAGCCAAGAATGAATCGCATTTTTATTTCAAACCAGTATAGTAAGAAAGGCCAAACTTTTCATAGATAGAAAGCCGGGCATTTAATTTTTTTATTTCAGCATAATGGAACTAAACCCCCCCCAAAAAATACTGAAACGAACAGATACCGAAATTATGAAAAACAAGACGACATTAGTCTTTTATCTCTAATGTTACACAGTTTGACGTGGATTATTTTTCGGCCCAGAGGTAACAGCGCGGTAATGATCCTCAGAGTTACAGTTATTCAGAAACATGGAATATTTTGAGGTCAAAAAGCAGTTGAATTTTTTTGTCAAGAGGAAGGGTTTATCCGCCTGGATTTAACCTTTCTCCATCTTCTTTCTTCATCTTTGTTACTATATTTAGATTTCATGCTGGCAACAGCCCTATCAGGACTCCTGAATCCTATTTTTAAGTTTACTATGCTTATTTAGTATTATTTTTTTTCACACAGGGAAAGATGGTCGTGACGGACGTGATGGGAGAAGTGGAGCGAAGGTTATTATGTCATTGTTATGAAGGTGGCCCGAATGTGTATTATAGAAGCGACCTGTGCTAATTTGCCTCAGTAAGTAACATACCACGTTCTCGTTTTATTTTTCCAGGGTGAAAAAGGTGAATCAGGCATTCAAGGAAGAGATGAAAAGGTTTGCAAATTACCCCTTGCTATAATTACTGAGAAAAATATCATAAAAATATCTTTGACTCTGAAGATGACTACCGCACAGGTTGTCGAAACGTCAATCACTGTCAACAACAACAGTCCTTCTTATTAGAACTGATCAAATAACCTAATTTGAAAATGGGTTCAAGCCTTTCAAAAATTTTGATGGGGTGGGTAGATGTTTTAGATTGCAAAAAGAACGAACGAATTAGAACAAAAGAATGTTAAGGATTTTAAAATGTTTTACAAAGAACGAACGAATTCGATCAAAAGATGTGGAATTCTAAGCTTTGAACCAAGCTATTGCTTTCTTTTAGCTACCTTTCTATTTCAACGCAAGCTGTTCTCTTACGTAACACCCAAATGAGCGAGTCATCTATAAGTAATTAATTTTGATTTGTTAAAAGGGCGAGAAAGGATCTCCTGGAGACAAAGGAGAACAGGGACCGAAAGGAGTGCCGGGAATATGTGGCAGGCAGATATTGAGATAGACTGGGAAGAAGAAAGTCTTTTTAATAAGTTTTCCCTACAGAGCAGTAAAGTCGAACCCCGCTCATTACAGACAGGCATTAATGCAGACAACGAATACTTTTTTGAGATAATTACTGTAGAAAGTGAACCTCGTTTATTTGAACCCTCTGTTGGTAACTGTTTGTTGTATTGAGATATGCGGTTCGTGAGGGTATAAGCCCTGGTGGACTCCCATATTAAGAGAAAGGAATTATTCTTCGTCTCTTTATAAGTGTGTAAATTGGAAATTTTAGTCATACTTGTACTCAATTCAAAATAATGAATTGTGTGTAATTCCTCTTAACATCTTTCATCACAGGGCAAGTTTGCTTCCAGTACAACAGCCAGTTGTAAAACTGGTAAGTAACTTCATTTACACTAAGTGGATCTTTTTTCACATTGCACTTGCAGTCTGTCCTATAACTATTGTTTAAAAATTATTACCTCTGAATCGTAATCCACTTATTTCTAGCTAATAGTTGCCGTTCTTCAATAATTGTTTTTCTTTCTTTTTTATTTTGATAACTTGTATGAATTTTCTAGAATTAAATACAACGTACACTGGGCTGTGTGCATCAGTATGATACGCAAACTGTGTAAGGTTGTGTATGTGTGTCGTGTATAAATCTAGTTCATGTGTTGAAATGTTTTGTGTTTGAGAAACCTCAATGATTTGGTTTTTGTTTTCCGGTTTTCGTTTCTCACAAATTAAACTGAATCGCAGCCTCGCTATAAATTTAACCAAGGTCAGAGTTAATATCGACGGCTAATAGATCAAAATGAAGTGAGTGACTCATGATGAACCACGCCCTTCATGAAACTGTTGGATAGTCTTTAGGCCTTATTATTGCGCACGACCTATGTGTTTTGGGTCACGTGATCACTACATCACCAGAATACACAATGAAAACTACGAACAAAACCGCAGATCAACTATCACCACTCCCTTTTGTATTTGAAGTTCGCGTCTATTTATGAACTCTTGTATTAACAATGGAATAAAACCTTGGTTAAATTTGTATCTAATTACTTGTTCCAGCCCTCCTTTATTTTTTAGGTTTAATTAGAGAAAAGATTTTATTTGGACCAATCTCATTCCAGCTCCCTATACTAGCCGATTTCTTGTGCATAACATATAAATGACCTCCTCTAATGGCAAGGCCTCCACTAGCCTGGGTATCAGGCGTTTCTGGGGGAAAAGGGGAAAGATGGAAGTGAAAAGGGGAGAGAGATGAAGGAGAGAAACACCTTCCCTTCTCTTCTGCCCCTCCCCCCTCCTCCATCTAAAATCTCCTCTCCCCTAGCCCAATAGGAAGGCCTGATACTCAGGCTAGGCCTCCACTTAAGATAAAGACAGTTCAAATAGAAATTGCTTTTCCACGTGTCTTTTTTTTTTTTACAAAGAATACGATGCTGGTTTTCACTTCTTTGAGAAAGTTCAAGGTCTACCAACCCGAGGAGCTTCTGGTGTCGAACATTTTTTCGTCAACGGGACTCTGTTTCTCGCTTTTGCCAACTACTATGGGGACATCCGCAAGTACAGGACGAGTTCCACGATCTACAGGATGGACGAATCAACTGGAAGATTAACTTCGCATCAAACCTTGCAAACAAGTGGAGCTTTTAACATTGAATACTTTACGATCTCTAATGAACATTTCCTTGCCGTGGCCAATCATTACGATGGAACTCGCCTGAAATATTCCATAATTTACAAGTGGAATGGAAAGCTGTTTGTCGTCGTTCAGAGAATACCAACAAAAGGAGCAAGTCACTTTAAATTTTTCGCTATAAATGATGACAAATACATTGCAGTGACAAATTACAATGATGGTAGTACCTATTCCATAAAATCAGTCATCTACAAATGGAGTGGCGGCCGGTTTAACAAGTTTCAGGAGATAGCAACAGAAGGTGCAAGAGGATGCGAGGTGCTTATAATTAACAATAACACTTTTATCGCGTTTGCAAACTATTATAACTCCCAAAAGAAAAATTCTGTTCATTCGACTGTTTTTAAGTGGTCAGGAGGTCACTTTGTCAAAGTACAATCTCTTCAGACTTATGGAGCATGGGGTGTGAAATCCTTTCAAATCAATGGTCACACATTCCTTGCCTTTGCCAACTACAAATCTGGAAGAAAATTCACTACCGACTCCTTCATTTTCAAGTGGAACGGCAACAAATTTGATTTGTTCCAGTCCATTCCTACACGTGGAGCCCGAACATTGTATCCATTTGTGATCAGGGGTCAAACGTTTTTGGGTGTGGCCAATTATTTTGGTGACAGCCAGAGGTTCAATACAAAGTCCGTTGTGTACCAGGCCTCCGGCTCGCGGTTCGTCATCTACCAGGAGATTCCAACTCAGGGAGCATCTGACATAACTTCATTTGAGTACAAAGGTGATACGTACCTGGCAGTGTCAACTTATTCCAACGGTCAGAAATACAACACCAACAGCGCTTTGTACAAATGGATGTAGAGCGATAATTACACGAACTAGATCCGAGAAGTAATAGATCTAATTCATACCCATATGGGTAAAATAATCTGCTGACTTTTAAATATTAAATAAATTTAAATAAGTAGTTTTTGATAAGCTGTAAAATATATATATGAGACGTTGAAGCACGATATAAATTTATCTCATTTTTAATTTGATTCAAAGAGCTATAGCTTAATCTACCGCGAGGCACAAACGTTTGCGGGAGTAATATTGCAGAGGGCTATTTTGTTTTTAGAGACTGCTTTCATAAGTTTTTGCGAATTTTTAGCAAGTTCCATACAACGTTTTTGTCAGTCTTCATTTAAGTACATATGTAATCGAACAATTGAATTTGTCATTAGTCTATTGCATTTATCATTATCATCATCATCATTTTTTAGCCTTTTTTTATAGCAAATTTAACAAGAAACAGCAGCTTATAGACGAGGAGGCCTCAAGAAACCACCAGGCTTATAAAGAGAGGCCATCCTGCGTGGTTTAATGCTTTCTGCCAAGTTATATTTTTTCCGACGATTTAGTGAATACTTGCGGAACATTTCTCTGCGGATCTTGATTAAACCACAAACAATAAGTGCCACGTGGTACGTTTAAGTGGAGTGCCAAAGGGATCATTATTCTGCCAGACACAATGTAGAAAACCAACAATGTTTTAGTGCCGTTTAAGATTTCCTGGTGTCCTTGGGATAACAGCTATCATAGAAAAACAAGACTTTTAAAACTATTTTTATTACTGTTTTGTGATTGATAAAGACCGGTTTCTCATTTTTCGCCATTTTCAGCAAGTTCCATCATACAACAATTTTGAGTTACTCAGTTATTTGAGTACAAATGCAATCAAACACAGGTGAAATGTGAAATACTTGATAATTACAGCAAGTCTATTCCAAATCACTATATCGCATTTACATCTCACATTTAAGTGGTTTGATGTTCCCACAGCTGAATGACCCTGAACTTTAAGAAACATTTTGTGCAGATCGTGAATGAAACCGAAATAATTTAGTACCACGTGCAAACTTTTACAAGGACTGCCAAATGCATCTATAATTTGCCTACAATATAGAAAACGAAATACGTTTAGTAGCTTTTGCAATACTGTAATACTTTGTTATGGTCATGCAAATAAAGCTTATTGTTGTTGTTGTTGTTGTTGTGGTGTGGTTGGGAGAGTGCCATCATATTTTTACAAGAATAGAACTTTTAAAATCTTTGTAATAATAATAATAATTCTACTAATTATTCTTTATTTAGTTCATGGTGAAATTACATTTTTTTAACTTTACGTAACCGAAATAAAAAGGGCGAGCTGGGAAGCTAGATAAACTGTTAGGTTTTCTAGTTAGCTCCTCATCCAATTTAAGTCGGTATGTAAGCAGGTGAAAAAGAAAAAAAGAAATAGATAAATGAGTTAATAAATTGAATTAAATTAAATTAATAAATAACTGAGTAACTGAATAACAGGAGTTAGCTCCTATTTTAGAAGTTTTTTCACCGGCTCTAAGATTACATTAGACGCTATAATCGGTAATTTTAGGGTCAGTGGCGGAATGACATATGATAATCCCAGGCCATTTATCAAACAATGTTATCAATTCCTTTAAGCTTTTTGCTCGTTCAGGAGAATAGCTAAGTCATTATTATAGTGCATAATTGCTTTGATAAACTTTAGGTTGAAAAATTAATTGATTGCAAAGATATTATATTCCGATCGTGGGTTACACATAAAGATGATTAGACAGCAGATTAGAGTCAATGCTTAAGCCTCTTCGACAACTTTCCCTGAATTACCCCACCAATTTTACCGCACGTGCCTTCTGTGAAATTTCCTATAATCGCTGGACGTTCTTTCAGGGCAAGCTTTTATTCACAGCCTTTTGCAGTCTTGAGGAGCAAGGATGAAAAATGTTCCGCCTAATTTTCGTGTTGACTTTTGGGATTCTTCTTAGCCAGTTCCCTTGAAACATCAGAGAATAATTCAGCTGCGGACCAGGTAATCTATGAATCAAGTTGCAAGTGATGATTGTTCTTCTGTAATACCAGCAATCCTCTCTTGAAAGTTTTACAGTCGTTGTACCGCAGCCATGATTTAAAACAGATGAATTGATTGCAGTGGCACACTCTGTGTCAAGCAACGAGATGTTCTCACTGGTTAATCAGTATCTTGTTAATGAAAGTACTGCCCATCAGCAGGAGGTTTTGTAGTTACTAAAAGACACTCACCGTGACATGCTAAATGTTAAACAAAAAAACAGTTAAATCTTCAAGGCTCTTTTCCTTAGAATCCATTTTGCCAACGCTCGATCGAAGCTAAAAGATAAGGATCGATATTCAGTGATTTGTAAACCCGCCCACATTCTACACCCGTGATCATACAATAAATTCATGTCGAGGCTTGGATGGACAATTCTGTATTTTGTCAACCCATCCCTTGAGCTGGTGCCTTTGTTCTCAGGAATGCGACAAAGGACTATCCCCAGTGCAGATCAAACTTGAAATCTTCCTATCTGGTTCTAGAAAAAGTTACACCACAGCCTGAGAAAAGCAATAAGCTTCAATCTACGCAATAAACACGAAGTCGACTCCCGGAGTCGCCTTGAACGGAGAAGTTGTTTTCCTTCCTCGTTACATTAGATTTAGTGGAACGTCACATATCGGATAAGTTCTGTGCCACACTTTGGTACAGTATGAACAGGTACTGATTCGCACCGTAGCGGAAGTGAATAAGTAGTACCGTGGACTGCAATCCATTGAGAAGGAATTCAGAAGTGAGGATTGTGGTGTGGTTCACCAAACCCTCTCTTCAACAGCTGGCTGAAACAGGCTCCAGCGCAATGTTCGATTTGTGTGAACGACTTGTTCCCGAACTGCGCCTATACCGGATAGCCCTTTGTGTCGCCACGAAAGCTAACCGGAATAGTCTTAACATAGCCAAACAACTTTTGGAACAATGTCAAAAATTCCCATCCCACGGATCCCCTCTATGCTCTAAGTTGAACTGACGCATCTCTTAGTCCTAAACGCAAAGGCAGTCTTTTAAGACATCCAACATAGAAAGAACTCACTTCATCGTTGAAATTTTGTGGCAAAATAACATATTCTGTTGGTTTTTACAACAAAGAACGTTTTCTACAGTCCAAATCTACCTAGTCCAAACCCGTAATACGTTGACTAATACCCTCTAATAAAAAATTCGTCTTCCTTTGTATCTTGTCATCTAGCACTGATTTCTTTTTTAAGTTTTGAAAAGGAAAGGAAAAGGAAAGTTCTCTATAATGCAATGATAATCAATTACTGGCCACATCTTCATCAACGTAAATGTACGTTTCTTCTAAAATAGGTGCCACACAGTTTTTAGCTCTCGATATTGATATCAAGTGAAATTATTGCTATTTGTATGAATTTAAAACAGTTTCAGTAGTATTGGCTTAGACGTAAGTGTCACCAGAAGAAAGAATATTTTTCTAAATTTTATCCATTGAACTGTTTTCAGAGATCGGTTTTCGGCCAGCTAAGGCTCCCAACGAAGCCCCATCCTAACCACTGAGGATCAGTTAGGCACCCAGCCATGGAAGCGACATCGGACTTTCTGAACTGAGAATCAGGCTGGAAAGTTACTCTTCTCCTTTCTCCTTTCCAAATGAACCTGAGTTGCAAAAATGATTGGGGTGTCCAGTATGTTCGAAGTCTGTCATATGACATTCGAGTATCAAGTAGGTTAACTTGTGCGTTACACTCGTCCCACCAATAATGTCGACCGTATTGCGGACCTACACCTTAGCCGCTAAGCCTTATGCAGGTATGGCTACTAAGTCAAATATGGCGGACGTGCTAACGTGTCCGAGCTAATGGAGAGGGGGCTGACTATTGGATCATCGTAAACTATTATTTTGTACATTTGAAAAAAAAATATGCCTCGGAGAAAGCACAGGGGTAAAGCAACACGTTCTGAAAAACTTCGGAAGGCATTATGTGACAAAGACGTGATTGGTGGAGGTAAGGTTTTAAACTGAATCGACGTACGTCCGCTTTGAGTACAACTTCCCTGTAAAGTTACAGTGTAATTGTGATTAACTGGCTGTTAGGCTAAATTTCAGATCATTAAAGATGAACTGTAAGTACATTTTACAGCATGAAATGTTAGTTTTCTCCTTCTAGTAACGGTTTGTAAAGGCTTTCATTCGAACATGTCAGGGAACCACACCCTGATTAAACTTTCAGCCACAACATAGCTCAGGCACAGTTCAAACGTCGATTTTTTCATTTACCGAACCTAATCTCTTCCATTAAGTACATGCAAAGATCGACGTTTGAATCAGTTAAGTCCGATTTTTCTAATTTGGGTCGAGTGCGTATCTCCTGATATGGGAATTTCGACTGAGGAGCGACTTGGTTTCAATCGTCGAACTTTTCATGTGCTGAACCTAATACAGAAATTACTGTAATTTATTTTCTCTGGTAAACATTTTAGGTCATTGTAAATCATAAAAATGAATTGAGTACAGCAAATTAAGTTCAATATCTGAATCAACCATTGAACTTACATCATTTCGGTCAACCCAAATAGCTTTTAAGTTTGTTACATGAAAAGTTTGACATTTAAACTGGGCCTTAGTTAAGTACATCCTCCCTTGTCTCCTGTCCTCTACGTAGGATTAGATAGCCAAGGTGAACACCAGAGTTTTTCTTGTCAGCCATAAGCACCACCTACACAGTTTAATAAAATGAATATCAATTTAGAATGCATCATTTCTTGTGATTTGCCCCTTATATTCTCTCAGAACAGTCAACAATTTTACTTATTTTTTAAATGCTTCTCTATTACAGCATTTCTATGTACGCTGTGAATTTCACTGTGCTATTGCTAAACCCAGCAGATCATTCTGGTTCACAGAGCATAGTGCTGTACATGTTTGCTGTATAGATGTGAAGAGGTCACAAGGTTCTTTGCAAAATACCTTGTACATGTACATAATTTATATACTTTGGTGATGTAGCTCAGGTTTGGTTTCATGGAGGCTTTTGAGGGTGTATCCTGCACAAAACAAGCTTGCTAGAAAGCAAAAGTGGATAAAGGCTCTGTTCACACACTATTTGCTTATCAACGATCAGCTTGTTTTTGCTGCTTTGCTTTGCTGGGTGTCAGTGTCTAAATTGTATGGGTTGGCTTGGTTTCTTTACTGACATTGAAAATATTGAATGCTTCTTATTGCAGATCTTGCTATTGAAGACTTTGCAAATGCCAAAGATGCCAAAGGGGCTCTTAAAAGGGCATCAAGAGGATTTGCAAATATGAGCACAGGTTTGAGAATAATGTTGACTTTAGGTACAGCTGTACCCTACAAACAGAGGTTTCAATGATGCAAACGGCTTTGTAAATCCTAAAAAATATCCCAGAAAGAAACATCTGCTTGCAGGGTAGTTTTTAGGTACGTATATATTAACCCTTTAAGTCCCAGTAGTGACCAACTTCGTTGTTCTTCTTTATGATATCCATACATCGTCAAGAGATTAGGTTATGAGAATTAATAAAATTATTACCTAAGAGAATATGCCTCGATCTTTTATCAAATTCTCTAACTCATTCTTGAAGAAAATATATAGAGATCAGTTTGGAGAATTTGTGCATGGATATTGGGACTTGTGAAGGGTTAAAAACTTTAAGACTATCACTCTGGCATTTGTTTACCTCTCTTGGTTCTGTACATATTGTTAACATGATACCACCAGAAGTAGTCGTAATGGAATGAGTTGTCCCAACTCAAGTTTACCCCAGTTGTAACAGTGTCAAGTAAACAAAGATCAAGCACTTATTTTGGTATCTGAATCAGCATTGCATGGGTGATTTTTGTCAATCCAAGATGGTGTCATCACCTTGGAGGAGAGGAGGAGAAGAGATGTAAAGTAATGTATATTAAGGGTTGTTTAATGGGCAACTGTACTTTGAACTCTCTCATTGATAATGATAATAACATAATAGTAGATTTCACATAAAATAGATGTACATACCCTGAAATAAATAAGCTAATCATTAATCCCACAAGTAACCATCCTGTATCAAGGTTGTGTTCAAATATTAATCTATTTACAAAGGCAGATATGAAATGCTCAGTATTAATTTAGGATGAGCACATTGTTTTTTATGGAGATTGTAAGAACAGACTTTTTTGAAGGAATGTATGGAGTGAGTGGATAATTATCAACTGAGGTTGCTTTCTTAAAAATATTCACAGTCTTGCTTCTCTAAGAGATCCTCAATTGAAACAGGGTAAGAAATAAAACAGCGCTTATGACAACATTTCTGTATAAAAAAGATCAGGTTCGGATGCTCCATACACTGTAAATGGATTGCATTGCACAATTATTGTTAAGAGTAGTGCCACATGATAACCAAAGGTGATTGTCTTGTTACCTGGCCACATGCACTGATTATAAGTGTTTGCTCTTTTTTCTTTGACGCTGCTTTAGTCATTGAAGCTCAAAAGGAGAATCTAGTTCCATGGTACGAAAGAACTGACTTTGATTTACCATCAGAAGAAGAGGAAGATGAAAAAGAAAGGCTCGTCAAAGGAAGACGAAAAGGATCAAAGAAAATCCCAAAGAAAGATAACCCAGATCATAATGAGTATGGATTTACATACCCACTTGATGTGTGGTGTTTGTTAGCTCAGTACATTCGACCTGAACAAGTTCAGAACTTTGCATTGATCTGCAAAGGAGCGAGAGATGCGACAAATATGAGAACCTTTTGGCTGAGAATTTACAAACGGCATATTAGCCAGCCAATGAAACTTCCTGAAAGGCTTCGACCTCACAGAATAGATTGCCGTCCTGGTCTACGTGCAAGGATCATACGAGCTTTATATCATGGCTATGGTTTATTCAGAAGTCAATTGCTCTCAAATACATGTATTGTAACAGATCCCAGTGAACTTGAGTCAGAGCTGTGTATTTCCATGTGGTACAAGCAGGTGATGTGTAAAAAACAAACTAGGAAAGTCTGGGTGTTTTATTTCAAGTTTTCCAGGAAATATCGCGGTGGTAAACGAAAGCCAGGATACATGTCTCTCTCTTCTAATTGGTTGGATCAAATCGATGATGTACGTCATAATCCTGAAGAACATAACTGCATTCTGCAGGTAAACTGCGTCAATTTTCTCCCAGTGTCTCCCATACAAGGACATGTGTTAACTAGAGCCTCAGTTGGTGTGAGCCGTGATATGAAGCATTCCACAGTCAAGTTAACATTTCACTCGCCGCGGACTGACGGAAGGTACAGAAAGGAGGAGGGAACAATTGTTGTTTTAGACCCAGCATATGATCTCAAGGTCATCAACTGGTGGAGTCCAAGCTACCCTCACCACAAATATGAGTTATAAGTATACTGAAAATCTAAGGACTCGCATACAATTGCGGAATTTGTAATTTTCCCTTCTCAACCAAGTGGGGAGTTTCGTAACATTTACAGATAAATTAGTAGACTATTAAAAGCCCAACATAAATGGAGCATCAACGAGCATCAACACTAAAGAAGCCAACAAAACACGACCAAGTGCGGGCGCGTTTCGCTTGTTTTATGTCGCTTTCCTTCCAGAGAAAATAGAGATGCTGTGAACAGACTAGTGTAGTTTTAATAATTCTTTCACCTCAAGATTCCCCCAAAAAGGTCAAATTTCTGTTTGTAAATCCCGAGTACCAACCACTACACAAAATTGACCAAAGAGGTTTTGTTTGAATGGCAGCACCATAGGATTTCGTCTGCAGATTTCATAGTGGTAGGGTTAAGCTACAGTATGAAAGGTGGGAATATTTTATCGAAAATAAATAAATTGATCAAGAACAAATAACCTGGAATCCTAAGAACGCATTTCAGAGATGTTGACGTTTGGGAAACATCGCAAACCGTTTCTCTTTAATCTCTCGTACAGATGATTTGTCTTACTGTCCCGACGGTAAATATAAAGCAATTTGAAGTGAGTCCTCGACACCTTTAATTTAAAGCAATGTGATAAAATGCAGCCGTGCGTTCTTTGTGGTGTCAAACGGCCGTTTGTGGGGAGCGTTCCGTGGCGACACAAAGAGCGCGAGCTGCTTAGACTATTTGTGGGGCGAAGTTGATTTATATCTTCATGTAAGGATACGCAAGGGTTCACTGCCAGTGGTAGCGAAGAAAATAAGAGGGTGTTAAATATATACATCATTTACGAAGTTTTTCGTTTTTTCTGGGCGGCACACCTCTACTAAAACTTCCCTTAAATGCCCCTTGGGGGCTTACAGCCCAGGACTGAAGAAGGCAGGGATAGTATCGTCCAAGGGCTTTTATTTGAGTCCTCAAAGACAAAGGAATATTTTCCAATCGTTAGACCTTCCAACAGTTTTGGACACAAAAATTGAAAAGCAAACTCTTTCCCCCCGAAATCATGGATGAGTCGCGCAAAGGCAAAAACTCACCACTTTCCCATCTTATCCTGGCTTGATTCTGGAGAGATAGGCCTTAATTCTTCGTCTGTTTTCGGTGCCCAGGATTGAAGCTCGCTATTTGTCAAACCGGAAACAAGTCGTTGCTTCGATCAGAATTGTAAGTTCAGTGTGGTACGAACCATAGAATCCGAAAATATCTTTCAATTTACTTTCAAGTGAAAGACTTAATATTATTATTCGCTCATTAAGAAGAAATTTTTCGACACAAATTACTCTTCAATTTGGCAAGCCCTACTGATTTTGCAAGGCATATTTCCCTCCTATATACCTCTGAGCCCCGCTTAATTAGCCCCTTGAGAAAGGTCTATGAAAAACGTAAGCCCCGGATCTTATTATCGGAGTCCTGCGGCATTTTAAAGATGCCTTCGGAAAAGACAAAAAATAGGTCGGAACAGTATATCGTTTCACATATTTAAAGAATACATTTAACTCACAGTGGAGTTAACGTGAACACGTCAGCATTAAAACGGTGTCTCTAATCAAATAAAAGAAACTTGAAAATATTTAAATTGTAGTAGATTACAAAAAGGGATAGTGCAGCTATAGAAGTACATCAAACACATTTTTATTAAATGCCGATGTTTGTAGGGGGTAAATTAGAGGTTTTGAGGGAGAAATAAAACATCCGGCAAAAGTGACCTTGGTAAATGTGCAACGCATAAACGGTACGAGGCGGAATTTGTGCAATTTTATTCAGTTTCTACCCCCAATTAATAACGCGATGACGAGAGTTAAAATGTAAAAGGGAGTGAAAAATCGCAAAAATTTTCAACTATATGGCCATGTAAATACGCTTATAAATCTGTCTGATTGCATGCAGCGAGCAGACTTGATGGGAGACATTTTCCACAATTATATCACGGCACGCGCTCACCTTCTATTCAATGGATATAATGTACTTAAATCGCCAAACTATCAAAGTTGTTAACAGATGATCATCTTGGCAATATCGTTATCAAAAGTTCTGTCAAGAGATCAAACCGCATTGGAATGCAGTTCACTGAGTCAAAGAAGGACTGAGAAAGAACTCAGAGCTGGGAGTTATTTAGTTTAATTACGCAGAAAAAAAAAATGGTTTCTTGCGATACTGATTCACCTAAAAATAGTTTTTATTAGTGTTTTCGCAAAGGCTCTCTTTTTGTAAGATGTATACAAAATAACTACTCTCTTTTCTCTTCTCTTCAGTTTTCTTAAAATTTGGTTTCTCTTGAATGTAATTACATAAAAGAACTCTGACATCATGTTGTGTTAAAGAAAACAGGTCCCTTGCTTCTGAAACCTCAAACGAAAGAATTAGTAACGAAAGGAAATACAGAATTCGTCAGAACGCAAAGTATGAACAATGGAATTTTATACATGATTGTATTATTGCATTACCGCTTTTTTCAAAGAACTATTAAACTGGTATGAAGAGAAGATAAGCCAATTTATCAAATTTAGGCAGCTTGCCGACTCAATGGGAATAAACCGGCAAACGGCAAAAGCCCTTCGGCTAAAAAGGAGGGCATACGGCCCCATAATTACATAATCGCAATTTCAACTTCAGAAAATTCAATTTTTAATACACAAGTATTACCTCTGAGTACGCAAGTTTGTTTAATGTTAACTTGTCTGGTTTAGTATTGTAATCCTGTATCAATACCGGACTAGCAGCGGGAAGTGCGAAACCGTCTGTTGGATGACGTTTGTGGACAGATTCTCGAAAAAGAATGTTAAAAAAAAGGTTTGTCGGTTCTTGATGACAGCTAAACTAAAAATACATAATTGGCCAAAAAATGTTGGATTGTTTTCGTTTCCCATTACCGTTTAACACCCTAAACGACCTTTTTCAACAGAATGTCCAGAGCGTCTGCTAAGCGACTGAGTCATTGTAGATACGTTTGTTTAAAGAGTAATATTGTTGTTGTGTCTTCAAAGCTAACATTTCGTGATCGGTAAAACATATTTTAAATGTCTTAGGTCTTGTTAGCTTTTTAAGACACGCGATATTGCCTTGATGATGAAAATCGTCATTCTCTTGACCTGTCTACTTGATATAACCACGTTAATGAAAGGAGAAAATACTTGTTGATCACCTTGAATCAAGGGATGACCCCTTGTGTATAAGTGTATTGCACCTGTAGTGTGGTAATCAGAAAAATATCACGAAACGTCTTTGCTTGAATATAACATCACTATCACATTGTTTGCGTGTTTGTTTGTCTTTTTCTGCTGTTACATCCAACGTTATATTCTAAGTTATGTTTTAAAGGCATGTGCCGCAAAACGTAACCGAGTAGTGCTTTCGTGGTTTTTCAAACCAAGGTTTTCCCACAAATGTCCTTAATTAGCTTCTCTTTTTAAATCTTTTTCATTCTTAAGGGTGCTCAAGTTCCGTAACATAACGAAAACTCCAAGTTTTGCACGGTTTTTTAAGGATACCGGAAAAAAATATTAGGAGAACCACAGGAAAACAGACGTTTGTTATGCCCCATTTAGAATCAATCACTTATCAGGGATTTCGAACACACGTGCGAAAAAAGTTCTCTTAAATGGCGTGCGTATAGGCTGGATGGACGATAAGAAATCAATCCTCGTGACAGGCACTTTATAAAGTTATTCATCTCTTTTTGTTCCTCCCAATGATCAATTATGCAGTGAAAACAAAAGACTCAGTGACCGTGTGTTGTGCTGGTGGTTATTCAATTAACAACAAAAGTTACCAAATAGGTCTCAAACATTTTAAATTGCACTAAATCGAAGGACAACTGACTGATCCATCGCATTCAAGTTCAACATGGAAGGCTTCACATTGGATAGGTAACTGTAACATTATTTATCTTTCATTCTTTAAGAAGGATTAACGTTTCAATTAAAAATTTGAGCCTTCATTTCGAAGAATCTAGAAATTTTTTCTTCTTGAAGAAGTACAGCTGAATAGTTTCGTACAATTAGTGGTATATTTATTTTCAATTCAATTTATTGTTAGATAAAGACAAACTGCTATACAGTGTATGTCAGAATAATCCCCAGGAAACGAAATATTTAAGACGGAAGCAAAATAAGCTATACTGAAGCAAATCGTGCAACAGGACGTTATCACTACTATCCAGTTAGTTTTTTACGCTTAACTCGGCTGGCCCAGCGTTAACTGATGGTTGAAAAATTTCGTATTGTCTCCTGGTATTGTCTTTTTTATAATATTAAACAAATGGTACAATGTTAAATTCCGTGGTTATAGAAGTTTGTAAGAGCAGGCAGAGGCATTGCATTCACACGTTCGAAGTATTAGTGATCAGTTAAGTCGGCTCTGTTATAAACAGTATAAAACAGGAAAAGCTTTGATTGCTAATTCTCGCTTAAATTTATAAGACAACCACTAAGTACTGAAGCAGCTTGCAGCACAGGAAGCAGCCGTACAAGAAAATGATGCCCGGTCGTTTTTATTTTGAACAGTCTGACACTTTTTAAACTTCTTCCGCAGATAAAGTGGAAATTAAACGAACTTCCTGTGATATCAAAGTAAAGAGCATCATTACAAGAAATTACGGTTCAGGCTGTTGCCATTTTTTCTTTTGGGCCTGACAATTTCAGTTTTTACCACGGCCGACTCAATCGCTTTCTCATGATCGAATATATCATTATCTTGTGAAGAACATGCAACTCATTTCTATGAAAATTCTTCTCTACAGACGTTCTACAGAGTTAAAATGACTTTTTCACTCCCACATACCGATTAACTCATATTCTTGTAAGAGTTTTTCTTCGATTGCTAGACGCTTCATATTTACTTATCGTAACATTCTATGTTTGTTTCTGCTTTCGTTTCTGTATTTCCGATATTGCCTTTAAGTGGGCGATCAACGAAAACTGCGGTGCAAATAAGTCTTTAAGTGTTAACAAGTAGTCATAAAGAATG